TCGTGGGGCCTCTCGTGGTCCTGGGCAACCCTGATAAAATGAGGGTTATTTTGGGTAGTTCCCTTTTTAATGGGTATTAAGTGAGGTCGTTTTGCCTAAGTGTTATATATCTATATAAGCCTTTTTAACTCAAAATACACCCATTCACCTCATTATTTCCCAAAACCAAAATCAAATCCCTAAAGTTCATCCTCTCCAAATATTTTCTCTCTAGAACTTGAAGAAGAAGAATAAGAAGGAAGTTGGAGCTAGGGTTCAAGAAGTGTCACGACCCGAGAGCACCCCCAAGGTGTAACACGGCGTACTCGACCTCGAAGAGGTTTAATACAAGCCTCTTAGCTCATTCATTGCATAGACAATAGAAAATAGTACGAAATTAAAAACTTTATTCAAAACCAACTATTTAACATCTCATTAAAACATCTTTCAAAGACATGGCGGAAACTAAGTCTCATATGGCCATCCTTAGACAAACTGTCACGACCCGAGAGCACCCCCTAGTCGTAACCGGCGTACTCGACCTCGAAGAGGTCTTATACAAGCCTCATAGATCATTCATTGCATACGATACTTAAAAATAGAGAAGAATTAAAAAAACTTTCTTCACACGAATATACTTTCATTATCAATAGCAAGCGGAAGACTTTCTAGACTTTATACAATATGTCTCAAAACCATCTATTACTTGAATACAACATTAGGACCAATCCCAAACAAAACTAAAAGACATAAAGGAACATATTGGGTTTTGTCCTCGAATCTATGAGGACTCACCTAGTCTTCATCTTCAAGCACCTTAGAAACCTATCCATCAACCATAGAACACCAACATCTCCAATCCCTACACTTTAGTTAAAAGGGGAAGAAATGGGGTTAGCACAGTTATGTACTAAGTATGGAAGCCATGCAAAAATATGCAAAAAGGGACATTTAGTTGAGAGCCTTGCTTTTATGCCATTTGAGTAAAACTTCATGAACATTCATCATAAGAGGCATAATATAAGTCACAACCAACACATAAAGTCACGTACATCACCTTTAGTCAAAACCACATATATGCCTTCACCTTTTACCTTTACCTTTAGCCTCTACATCAAGAAATTCTTTATGCTACACCTTGTGCAATGTATGGGTTGCGTCCCATATCACCACCCACACCAAGGTACCACATTAAGATCCCTAAAGGTGAACCCACCATTCAACATACTTCACATTACAAGTATTCATGCTCAACTAGTGCCAATATACAACACATAAACACATTTATCAAGTAAGTCATTTCACCATTCTAGGCCCTCTATCTAAAGCTACCCTAAGACACACCTAAGTAAGAAATGAAGTGGCCGCCCATACAACCTCTTCATACACACCTAGGCATTTCTTAAGGCCACAATAGACAGGAACCTTTACATTTCAACACATCATGCTAAGCAACTCATTTCATCATGCTAGTCATTCATCATTTCATTTAGACAATAAGCCATCATTCTTCTTTTACATTATTTAGAGGACTTTCATACAGTCTTGAAGACTTAGAGAACTCACTATGGCACTCTTGAAGCCTACTCGTGCCATGTATGGATAGCATCCCATACTACTATCCATACTTTGTAGAACTCCTCAAGGAACCATAATGTACATATCATGTGATGAGAATATGCATTAACCAACATAGACCATGTTAGCTAAGGCATGGAATTCGGTGTCATATAACCCCACACCGTGGAAGGGTGTTCCACTTGCCTAAGGTAGAACTAAGTGTTTGCTAGCTAGGTGGATCCCCTAGCTATCCTATGTGGGCACATAGTTTGGGATAAGAAAGACGTTCATTGAAACTCTTGCCTAACATTGGGAGAGTTTCTATCTTACAAAATCCTCTCAGTGCTTAGCCTCCATTCCCATAAAGTAGTTCATTCTTTTACACATGAAAGGGTGCCATAAGCCTACCGCTTCAAGGTACATTATAAGGATAGCTCATTAAGTTCCCATGGAAAGGTGCCTTAGGCCTACCGATGCTTTATTAAAGGGTGCCTTAAGCTTACCGGTCTAAGGTTCATCATTTCACACATGAAAGGGCTACCACCATTAGGTCTACTGATTTCATGGCTTATCAATTAATATTCATGGAAGGGTGTCATTAACCTTCCGATCCAAGATATATTTTTTTTTTTCCAAAAAGAGGATGCACTAGCCTACCAATTCAAGATGCACATTCACCTTTTTATTCATTTATGCAAGAGCTCACATGCAATATAGCTTTCATGTAAGAGACACCTAAGTCTACCAAGTCAAAATACAACAACACATTATAGGAACCCTTCACATTCTGCCATCCTCACACATGATCATTAAAAGAGAACACACTTTCCGTCACAATACAATAATACTTCATACAAGATCACCATTAAGGTCACATAGACATCTTCACATTATTCATACATCTATACAATAACATAATAATACTTCAATTCACAACATAATGCCTTCATGGCCATAATCACAACACATTCAATATATATGCACCTCCACCATAAGTGGATCAACCCATACAAGAACAAGTCTACTATAACATGAAGTTATGTCAACTTACCATTCTCCAAAGCCATAATCACCATTACTCAATTCCCCAAAAATTCACCATACATAGGTATAGATAACAATAGAAATTAATAATACAATTCAATCTAAGCATAATTTCCATCAACATCCAATCATAATCATAAAACCCACTTCGTAAGCCAAATTTAGGAGATTTGTGAAATAATGGGTTCATAGAGTTTTTCACGTTAAAATCATCAAATAACAATCAATATAATCTTAGTTTATCAATTGAAATCGTTTCATGCAAGAACCCATGAGTTTGAGTAAGAATTAGGGTTTTTCATAAACTTTGAAAACTTGAAATCTATTTTGAAATTGACTCTAGGGTGATAGATAACCCTAGATGGACTCCCATAACTTTTATTTGAAGAAACCCACGAAAATTTGATGAAGAAAACTTTGAATCCAAACCCTAGCTCCCACTTCATCTTCTTCCTTGAGTTAGAGAGAGAAATATTGAGAGAGAAGAACTTTGGGGTTTTTGATTTAGGTGTTTTGAAATAAGGAGTAATTGAAGTGTTTTAGGTCTTAAAACTATTTATACTAATGATGTAAACCATTTAAAATAAACCCCAATTAATAAAACTTTAAACAATATTACCAAAAACTCCCTCACTTGGGAAGCCCCGTCAGGGACCGCGCCCCCTTGTACGGGCCATGAAGGGAACCACAGACCATGGTGGTGCCCGTGGTCCTTGAGACAGTGGCTCCTTGACCTTGCCAAGCCACCACAAGGCCAAGTAATCATCACAGCCACTTCTACGGTTCGTGGTTAAGTCCACTGACCGTGAAGTGGTCCGTGGAGCTTGGGTAGTAGCTTGGCTAAGGCTCCTTGCTTGCCATGCCACTTGTATGGTACGTGGTCATCACCACTGACCGTGAAGTGGTCCGTGGTTCTTGTCAGCAGCTTGGCCAAGGTTGGGCAGCCTTGGCCTTTGGCAAAGGCCTTGCCCCCTTGGCTTGGCACCCCTAAACAACATCAAATAGGTCTTTTATTATGGAGTCTAACACATGCCTCGACGTTGACTCACTAAACTCCTTCAATCAAGGCAATATTACGCAACATGAAACCTCATTACAAGCCCAACACAAAGACATTAGTCTCTAGTTCATCCTATCATTTTCTGAGTCGTTACACAAACGTAACAAGATAGGGTCACGGTCCGTTATAAAATCAAAAATACTAAAGTCTATTACAAAAGTCTCAATATAAAACTAGAAACATAGAATCCTTGTCCTCGACATATGAGGACATACCAAGATAGGTCTTGAGAGAACTCTCACCCCAAGCTTCACTAGAGAATGCTATCACTTGCCGGAACCTACACTTTGTAGAAAGTAAAAGAATGGGGTTAGCACAATTAAGTACTAAGTATGATGACCATGCAAAAACATGCTAAAAAGGATATTTGAGTTGAAAGTCATGCTAGTATACCATTTTTGATAAAGTCTTAATAACATGATATTAAAGGCATAATAATCAACACATCCAATATAAGAGTCCTTTATCACAATATAAACATGCTCAACTAGTACCAACATACAATACATAAACACATACGTATACGTCAAGTAAACCATTTCAACCTCTATCTAGAGTTAACCTACGACACACCTAAGTTAGACATGAAGTGGCCGCCCATACTACAAGAAAACAGTCGTTTAGCTACAGACGCAAATCCTAGCTAAAGTGAAAAATCCCTAGCTAATGTCAATTTAGCTAGGAAAATGACCCTAGCAGACTTTCAAAGCTAATAAGCTCTTAGCTAATTTTTAGCTAGCAGATTATGTCATTCCTAGCTAATTTAGCTAAGATATCTCTGCTAGGCTCTTTCCGTAGCAAACATTTTGCTACGATGTATACTAGCTAAATTCCTAGCAAAATTTTCTTGGTCAATGTTGACTTTACTAAGACTTAGCAAGGAATTACCCTATCTAAACTTACAAATTCTCTAGCTATTTTTCAAAGTTTACTTGGAATATTTTCTTTGCTAAATGACTAGCTAAAAATAGCTAGGGATACTTTCTAGATAAATTTGGCTAGAAATTGTATGACGAAATACAAATATAGTTTTCTATATTTGACACAAGAAGAAAAACATAGTTAAATCTAATCAATTTTTCAAAATAAAGCACAATCTAATCAATTTTTCAAAATATCATCAATCCTTGAATAGTGAAGTACATGTTTACTAGCTAAAACATGTCTTAAAACATAAAAACAGTAACAGAAGTTATCTAAGGATTTGGGGTAGAACCAAATCCATCTGGTGGTGGTTGAGGAGTAACACCAAGCATCTGAGCCACAGCAGCTCGAACCGCAATAGTTACTTGAGCTTCCATATTTTCCCAAATTTCCATTTGCACATGATCTTGCATATTCGTCATCCGTTGCTCCAAACACATGGTCAAGAAGTTGTTGAAATTCAGGTGTTTCAAATATTTGTTGAGTAGGAATATTTGAAGGATTCTGAGCAGTGGAAGATATACAATTAGAATTCAAAGAATCTGCCAGCAAACAATTTCTAGAACCAAGCCCATATATTTTTCCTTTTTTAGTTCCACCAACTGTTTCTATCCAAGTTTTCAGTAATTGCTCCTCCGAAACCGTTTTCAATAAATTCACTTCATCTTCACTAGTTTTTTCTCCTTCATCTTCTCCATTTGTGGTCGTGTTTCTCTCCATGTCTCTGTCATCTACTTCAAGACCTTCTTCATTCCTTAATGTTGAAGGTCCACCCACCTTATCCTTAATTATATTTGTAAATGTATTCTGAAAAAGAATAAAGTAATTAGCTATAACATGGTATAACAAAGCTATAAAGTTGCAAAAGGTGCTATGAAAGTACTCAAATTTATTCTGTAATAGAATAAATGGACAACAAGAAATAAACTTATCTTATTAAAGGACTAGAATACTCTAATTGATGTAGTAAACAATGAAATATATATTTGAACTAATACAAGAACATCTTTCCTAAATGCTCTATTGAAACCATATAGGTTCCTTATTCAAACCTTAAGGTGGAATGAGAGTCGGGTAAAAACAAAGCACAATGAGTTCACTAAGAAATACACAGATGGGAAGAAGTTTGGAACAACCGGTTCATATTGAACTGTACTTCCACCACTAGTATGCCTTTAACCTATAACCCACCGAAGATAATTGATGGACGACCAGTAATTGTATTAAAGGCATCAGAAATAGTGAAACAGACCAATGTATGAAATAATGCTCTAGTAATGTATACGTTGTGAAACACCTACTTTCTCCTACATGAACAATTATATTAATGGGTACTACAACTTTGTTTCTGTACCTGAGTCATATTACCACAATGCAGGCTGCTACATAGTGAAATTCCAAAACCAAAACGATAGAGATGAAGTCCTGTTCACTTGCCCTGAATCTGGATTTTATGGATGCCTGGTAAAATAACTATTCTGATGGAAGAAGTGCATGATCATTTTACGCATATAAAGGTAGCAAGTAAGGGTTCCAATTTTTATTGTCTGCTAACAGTGATCTATGCCAAAAATTGTAGAGAGGAAAGGAGAAGCTTATGGCAAGAATTACTTAGAATAGGTTCTATCATCACTGAACCTTGGTGTATTTGTGGAGATTTCTATTCTCCCCTACAAGATTTGGAATGAATGAGGGGCCAACATGTAAGTGAATCTAAATCAAAAGACTTTCAACAAGTAATTAATGTATTAAATCTTATAGATATGAAATTAATTTTTTTGATCACTCATCGATTCTTATTGAGCATTACAGTGCAGATAGTGGACCCCACAAACCTTTCAGATTTCTGAACATACTGACTAAACATGAGAGCTTTTCAAATATTGTTACGATCATTTGGAAACAAAATGTAAAAGGAGGAGATATGTATTGCAAAAAATGAAGTTGTGTAAAGAACCTCTGTAGAGGTTATTGACATAGGAAATGGGGAGCTTGAACAATAGAGTCGCTGAAGCAAGAGAGAAGTTAGAATCCATCCAAAAACAGATCACTCAGCATGTGGGGACTAGTGTATCCAACACTGTATTTGACATAGAAAAAGAAGTTATAGTTGAACATAAAAAATGGTCTTATCTCCAGGAGAAGGTGTTGAAACAGAAATCTAAGGCTCACTGGCTCGAAGTAGCAGGATACAACAACAATAAGTAGTTCATTATCTGTGTGAAAACTAGAGCCAACATGGATAATATTTCTATTTTAACTAGTCTTGATAGTAGACAGCTCCTTAAACATAATGAAATTGAGAAAGAGATACTTCAATTTTATAAAAGCTTGATGGGTTCTTGGAATGATTGTCTGCTAGTATTGAACTAATACAAGAACATCTTTTCTAAATGCTCTATTGAAACCATATAGGTTCCTTATTTAAACCTTAAGGTGGAATGAGAGTCAGGCAGAAACATAATACAATGAGTTCAATAAGAAATATACAGATGGGAAGACGTTTGGAACAACCTGTTCATGTTGAACTATACTTCCACCACTGGTATGCCTTTAACCTATAACCCGCCGAAGATAATTAATGGACGACCAGTAATTGTATTAGAGGCACCAGAAATAGCGATACAGACCGATGAATGGAATAATGCTCTAGTGATGTATATGTTGTGAAAACCATTTGTTTGGTCCTATAGTAATCAACAGGTAATTTTGCATCTTCAGGTAAGAGCTCCTTCAAAAATAGCAAAATTTGATTATAGCAATTGTCACTCATGTTAGACTCAGACTTAATGTTCAACAACCTGCACACTGCTGACAGGGGAGAATGAGTCCGACATCCATCAAACAATGGCTCTTCAGCAGCTTTCAACATTTCAAAAAATTCTTGAGCATTTTGATTAGGAGGTTCTTCTTCATCAACATCCATATCAAATACATCATTGTCTAAGTTGAAACTAGGACCAGCTGCATCCAAGACCATAGTACGATATGGATTTATTGGTGTTCTATTAGAACCTATGTCATCACTTCTATTGGTACTAGGTTGAGGCCTAGAAATTGGTACAAAAGACTCCCCATGTGATTCCCATTGATAAAGATTGGGCATGAAACCATGCTTGTATAAATGAGATCTAATATCATGAGGTTCAAGAAACCCACTACTGTTTTTACATTTTGAACAAGGGAACCTTATACTTCCATTAGAAACGAAATCAGGTTGCATTAATGCAAACTCTATAAATCCACGCACACCTTCTATAAACTCAGCAGTGATTGTTGTTCGACTTGGCACTAGTCTCTTATACATCCACAAACGATCAACTCTAATGGAACTCATGCTTCCTATCTAACAAACAATGACAAAACAATTTTTTTTAATACTTAGTAATTTATTAATTAGCTAGTAATCAAGTAAATGAAATTCAAATTTAAACAGAAATGACCATACAATAAATATCTAATCTAAGAAGGGTTCAATATCACCATTTAATTAAGAGAAAAAAAATGTATTATTCTAATACAAACATAAATATCCTTCTAGTTAGTCAAGTCTAAAAAATTTATGTGATTTCTATAAGGGATGAAATAAATAATACAGAAGCATGTGCATTATACATACCAACACTATTTAGTCACCCAAGTCCAACACAAAATCAGCAACAAAATCGCTTTTGATTCAAGAGGGACTCTATAGAAGAGCAATTGAAGTGCTCAAAGCTCCACCCTTGGAAGTAAAAGGTGGGTATATACAGACACTTATCGTTCAACAAAACAGAAAAGCAGAAGGTGAAAAAATGAAGCAGTGGGCTGAAACAACTTGGACAAATCGCAGATTGTCACTCGCGGAGGCACTAGAGTCATCTGAGTCAACAGCCAAAGTGTCTGTCATAGATACTCGAATAAGCCAAGTCCTGTAGTTGTTTCCTTCCTTAACATATTTTCATCAAAAAGTTTAAGGCACATTAAGTTCATTAACTCACAAGTATCTATATACTTTTTTGGAGATATGATATGCTCTAAACAGCAGAAGGGATTTCGAAAAAATAAAATTAAAATCAGCCACCTCCCACCTCATCAACATCAAACAACTTAGGTTCATCAATTTTAGCATGTAAAGCTCTAGTTTGTGGGATTCAACTATAGTTATTCCTATCAATTACTCAAGTCAAACAAGCATACAACCCTGAAAGTCAGGACATTAACTACATAAAGTCGAACATGAAACTATCACCAATTGCAGCGAAATAATAAAACTAAAACGGTCACCGAAATTGAAGCAAAAGTTCAAGAAAGCAACTTGTGAAGCTAAAAGAGTCGCCTTGAGAAGAAGGTGACGCTTGCTCCAGATCTTTAAGGAAATGTAAAACACAATAAAATTTCCATTACATAAACAGAGGCGTACCTAGCAAACTTCTGACTTTCTCACTGGCTTGTCTTCGATTTGGCAACATACAGAGAAAATCCCAAAATAATTCCAACTTCTTTCTGATGAACAAAATAACAAGTTTCAATCTCAAGCTTCAAGAAAAAAATGCCAATTTTGTGTGAATTTCTATCTCATATCTAACGAAAAACTAGTTTTTCAACAATACCTCTTTATATAAATGAATTCGGTTTAGGAGAACTTCTTACCTTAACTGAAGAAGGAAGTAACGATTTGTGATTTCAAGCTTCTGTAAACTGGAATAAATAGTTAGAATTTTGGGAGCATGATGAAGAGACGTGAAGTAGTGCATCCTTCGTTTACGGGATTTGAAGAAGAGTTCAGTTAATTTGTTCTATTTTGCAGGATTTGAAGCTCAGTTAGGGTTTTACTGCTGTACGTTTCTCGTTCTTCTTCTGATTCTTTTCTTTCTACTTCTTATATTATATTATATATAATTTTGTTGTACTTATTTTGTCCCTACCCTCAAACCTCCCCCCAAGCAACCCCCCTCCAAAAAAATTAAATAATAATTTTAAAGCTTGTTTTTAAATTCAATTTTTTACCCCACCCCCTCCCAAAAAAATATTAAAAAT